CCCCAAAACCCCAAAACCCCAAAACCCCACAGTTTGAATTTCTTTCAATTTACGAACTATTTAAATAAATAAAATAGGTAAAAGAATACAAATTTAAAATGAGGAAATAAACAAGCAAAGCTCCTCAACCTTCATCAAGGCAAAATTCTTCCTCGCATAAAAGATCCTCATCGAATCCTTAGAATAATCCAAACGAAAGGTCGTCGAATATTAACATAAAGAATCAAAGAGAAGAGGCAAAGGAATAATAAAATGAGAGAAACAAGGCAGGATAGAATGAGGAAGAAAAGCAAAATTCAATACCCAATTTTACGCCAAGTTCAAATAAGCACAATCCATAAAATGACCCTCCCAAAGTAATCAAAGGTATTTTAAAAAAGCCCAAAGCTGATGGTGATGTAAACAGCACAAGCATGATAAACTAGTCTCAGATAGGGTAAACACCAACAAACAGTAACAGCCTGGCAAACTAAAACTTCAGTAGACAAATACAAAATCAAAATGACACTCCTAAAAATAGGAACATCTCGTAAAGTACACCTCTAACAATAGTCTCTGCTTATCATTCATTTAACCAATAAAATCTAGCAACATAGACTGTAGATGCTGCATTTGAAGAATATTTGAAAGTCTAAGAAGAACTTGCCTCAAGGGGTGAGATAGAGGAATCTTTAAAAAATTTGCAAGAGGGACTAAACGAGAGACTAAGTCTGTACCCAGCTAGGGATAGAGGTGTTTGGCTTATCTCAAAACTAATTGCTGAAATTGGTATTAGACTTGCAGTAAGATGCCTTAATAATGAAAAAATGGAGAAGGCTAACCAATATCTGAAACTAGCTAGAAAACATACAGAGCCACTACCAAATTCAGATTGGAGTGATAATGCAGAGTGGATGGGAACAAGAAAAAATGTATTTAAAAATCTAGCGCTGTTCTATTAAAAGTAAATTCTTTTCAGTTCTTTAAAATTATAGGAAAGAGGATTGGAGCAAAGCTTTTGATTGCTTTAAAGTCGCCTTGAAATTAGAAAAAGATCTAAGAGAGAATTCTTCTAACACTGCTTTAACTTGTGCTGTCATCTTATCAAAATTAAACAGATATGCAGAGTCTATAGATTATGCTTAAAATTGCATGAATACTATTGAAGCGCATATGAATATGGACAGAAACAAACCATTAGCTGAATATAAGTTCTTTGGAACAGATCCAGTAAAGATATTAGAATTTGATAAAATAATGACATCATATGCGATATCATTGCATCTTCTGGGAAATAATTTAGCAAATCTGAAATACATAAAAGAGGCAAAAGTATTTTTAACCAAGGCTTAATATGTTACAAATAATATGCTTAACAAGCCAAAGCCTGATTTATAACTTGCAATCACTAATGATCTAAATAACTTGCAAAAGAACTATAAGACTCAGATAAATCTTACCAAGAAAACATAAATGGAGGATATTGAATCATCACTAATGAATATTAAGACTAATCTAGCGAACAATAGTTACAGCTAGTTAGTAGATCAGCAAGAGCAAAAAGCTCTATATGGAACAATATCCAATGGACCTCCTATAAAAATGTTGAAAAAAGAAGAAACTAAGAAGAAAAAGAAAGGATAGGACGATGAACATAAAGAAGAGGAATTGAAAGAGGAAGAAGATGATGATAAAAATGTTTTCAATTTTGTAAAAAGATTTGCAGAGGAAAAAAAGAAAAAAGAGAACGAGGCCTTGGACGAATATCATAAACGCATTAAGTTAGATTATGATGATAAGCAGAAAGAGTTCATTGAAAGACAGTAAAAGACGAAATTCACTAAAGAAATTGATAAAAATATGTAATTGCCTGCAAGTAAACCTTAATTTACAGTTACTGGACAGTTCAAGCCTACTGATAAAAAAGCAATAGCTCCTAGTTAAAAATCTGCGTAATAAATTAAGGATGAGGCTAGAGCTGCTAGATTAAGAGGGCCAAAACCAAAAGAGGAAGTCAAGACTGATGATGAAAAATCCTCTAGGGTAAAAAAGCCCCCAATAAATCCAGCAGCAGAGGGAGCAAAGCTAGATAGAAAAGGTGTTAAATACTCAAGTGACAAAGGTAATAAGAATTTCTTTACCAAAAGAAGACAGAATATAGAAAGGGTAAATGAAAAATTAGGCTTTGGTCCAAGTCAAGAAGAAAATTAAAGTGATGAGGATATGACTGAATGGTAAGGAGGACACACAAAATAAGATGATATCAATAAATTCGATCTGCATTTACCTCCTATTGCTAAGGGTTATAAACTAGACGATCTCGGCTTGACAAATGCAGGTGAAAGAGCACTATCAAAATATGAAGGGGGATATACATCTGATTAAAGCGCTAAGAGTAAATAAATGTTCAACACATAAGATCCAGGAACTAGAAGATTATTGCAGACACTAGAAGGTAAATATAAAAAGGCCAAGCCAAGTAGCATGAAAAATTATGATGAAGATTAGAAAGAGGAGGAATCTGCTGATGAATTTTAGAGGGCTCCCTAAAAATAGGAAGATGTCATAAATCCATTTAGAACAATCTCTGGAGATATAAAAGACATTCCTTAATATAAGCCACCTTAGATAAAAATAAATGATTGGAGAAATAAAAGCAATAGGAGTTCAAGTGATGATGAACTTCCAGATACTAATGCTGTTTTAAAAAAATTAAACTTGTCTAATCCAATCAATAATGAAGATCCCTCTAAGAAATTGTCAATAGTTCAGGGAGATGAGACAAGATATGAAGAAAACCCACCAATTTTAGATGCCTCTACAATTGATAATGCTAATACTTAGACGAAAACAAATACTTTTTAAATAAAAAATGAAGATCAAAAAGAGGATCTTAATAAAAGTAAAAATTTAAGAGTCACTATTTTAAATAAGCCTCCAAGAGCAATAAATTCTTAAGTAAAAAGAAAAGAGGATTCAAAAACTGATTTAAACAAAACACATGCAAGTACTGAGACAGGCCAAATTAAAAAATAGCTCTAGCTAGACACTCCAGCTACAATTAAGCATAAGCAAGAAAGTAGTTCTAGTCTCCATATAAATTTAGGTGTTTCATAGAATGATACCCCAGTCTCTGGAAATAGATAAGGCAGAGGTAAGTAGACAGGATAGTCAAAGAGTTAGCCATCATAAAACAGAAGAGATAAATCATCTCCTGGTTAATACATTCCTCCAGGCTAAAAATGAAAACCCCGAATCTAAGAATCTCCTTGGGGAGGAGAGGATTCAGATGAGAAAAGATAAAAGAGAATTTAAAGTTAGGAGAGACTTTTATAGTTATCTTAACCAAAGCCAAAGTAGTATGTCCTTGTTAAGGAGGATGAAGAAGAAGATGATGAGACTTAAGCAAAATTGAAGTAATTACAAGAAAAGACTTAAAAAGGAAAAAGTATTAACTTTTCAGACTATGTCGATAGAGATGTCCCTTATATCAAGAATAATCTAGGCATTAAAGGTAATGATTCTATGAAAAATAAAACAAAGGAGTTCGACACTAAATTCAATAATAAGAGTGGACTTTTTAGCAAGATTGGCCAGACAACTAAGAATAAAGACACACCCGCTGGTGATGTTAAATATATAAAGGATAAAAAAGTTTCTAAAACCCCTAAATCACCTTTAAAAGGCCACTTAAATGATAATTCATTCGATGATGATATGCAAGATTATATTAAGAGATAGAGCGATGAAGAAGGTGGCCCTGCAGGAAAGAGTGGATTTGCAAGACTATTCAATAAAAAATAGAATGCTAAAAAAGGACTAAAAGGTTAGAAAGGAAGATAAGGATAAAGAGGTAATGCCAATGGAGGTTATGAATTAAAGGGGGCGAATTTAACTTTCAATGACTTGAGATAACTGGAAAGAGAAGCTGCTACTTATATAGAGAAAATGGCAAGAGGTTATTTCATTAGAAAGTGGTACAGTAACTACTAGATAAGAAGAAGATTAGGTATTCCTTTTTCTGGCTTGGAATTCACGGAAAATGCATTTTTGCGATATTTCTAAAAGCCAAATTAATCTTTGCATGATCTAGCACTTGTACCTCCATAGTTAGTTGAGGTTGTGCAGCAGCAGGCTAAATATAGAAATATGATAGTTAAGCAAGTAAAGCATGGTTAGAATGGAAAGAAAAAGAAAAGAGTAGATTTTGAAGAAGAGGAAGCAAAACTGGAGGCATCATAGTTAAAATACTCTGATGAGGAAATTATTTAAGATCCAGACATGGATAAAAAGCAATAGCCAAAAAGAGTCCCTCGAAGAATTCCTAAAAATTAAACTCCAGTTGAACTTTTAGGCAACTTACAAAAGGATTTCGTTGCAAAGGGCCTTGATGCATATACTTAATTTAAAAAGTATGGAGGTGGAATAGATCATGATGATAATGGAAAAGTAGTTACTAATAATCAAGCTGTCTTAGCAAGAGATCCAAAAGATATGGAAGAGATTGAGAATATGGAAAATAAAGTGCCTAAGTGGACTGATTAAAACAATGATTTCATTGAAGTTAAGGAGCATGAAGGTTATTTACATAAAATCGGTAAAGTCAAAGCAGCTCGAAAAGAAGCAGAGCAACAGTAGCAGCTAGCACTTATGACTCAAGCAGAAATGGCAGCAAAGGGAATTACTAAATAAAATTTTGTGTCATCCTTAGCGACATTTGCCTAAGTGCATGGAGTATTTAATAAACCTGAACCAGGCTAAGGTTCTAAAAGTGGTGAACAATCTAAAAGAAATGATGGTAATGAAGATGATGACATTTAAGCTTTATTAAAGAAAAGGCGTATGATTGATGAAGATGAAGATTATTTCCCGGTTGAAAAATATTAAGAATTTTCAAGAGAGGCTGTTGTATTTTATAAAAGGATTGGAGATATGATGGTAAGATGGACTATTTAAGTAGGTAGTGCTTTTAAAAAAGATAGAAAATTTTATATTCCAGTTAAGTTGATTGGAGAGCAATTAAAGTCAAGAAGTACAATTGCAGTATATTTGATGAATCTAGAAATGCTTAAGATATCTAAGGACATTGATAAAAACTTTGAATTTGAAACTATATGGCCATTTATTTTGTATTTGTTCAATAATTGGGTGAGGCATTAGGTCCGCATGATGGGTTTAGTTGATTAAAGACCAGACCTTAAGAATGCTTTTGTTCAATCAGAAAATAATATGTATGATGTTTAGGAATTTGATGATTAGTTGAAAAATGTGAAGTAGGAATACGATGAAATGCTAAACTTCTCATCAGAGATCGAGTATGATGATAGATTTGATTTTGACAAATATATATCTGAGAACAAGCCAGAGCATCTACTAGATAGATCTAGACCTAGAGAAACAAGAATGAAGCCTATTGAACAAATGAAGACCAATAAAGATAAGTTGTTCTAGGCTTATAAATTAAAGATTAATATGTACGAGCAGCTGATGCAAAAGGTGGATGAGGAGAAAGATTATTTGATGATAGATGAAAATGGAAAGCCAATCAAAAAAGTTAGAATTTTGACTGATGATTTATTCGAACCAGTTACAACAAGGGTAATTATTACTTTTATTTTTATTAAATATTGACTGTAGAAATAAAATCCATTTGAATTCTTTTTAAGGATGCACTTTGTTCCCTTACCCAAGACAGATTTGGGCTAGTATAAGCTAATATAGAATCTTTAGGCTTTAAACTACTCAGAAAAGTTGAAAAGAAACGGATTGGTTGAAGACAATATTGCTATAATGAATGAAGAGCGAAGAAAACGAAGAGGGCTACCTCCACTCTAGATTATCGATTACAACTGTATTGATCGAGCTGCCTTGAAATTGAAAATTATTGTGGAATGTCTGTTTTTGAGAAGACAGATGAATGGATGGTGCTTGGTGCCAAGAGATGTCAAAGAATCACTTCTGGCTAGAGAGTGGTCTCTAAGGCGATAGAAAAATGAAAAGATAGCTTGTCAAAGAGAACAGATTTCCTCAAAGCTGATTAAAATTTTCGGGTTAAGCATTACTTATCCCAACTAGTTTAATGAAAAAGCAATTTAGATCTAGCAATCTATGCAGAGAATGCAAGATTTCAGAAACAAACGGATAATGTCTTAAGATCAGTAACTTATCCAGAATTAGATAACTTTATAATAGTAGTAAACGATACCTCCCTTTAATACAAACGGAAGGACAACGCTATAATAAAGTTATGAATACCTAGATCCACAAGCATTGGATGACGAAATGCTTAGATAGACAACAGGAAATGACTAAAATCCTATGATCTCAAATAGAACTAATATCAATCCAATGAATACGCTAGGTGTGAATTCGATTATGATAAGAAGTGGGCATTTAAATTCAAATCACATAATCACAAATGAAGTGACTCAAATAAAAGAAGTCAATGAAAATGAAAATGAAGACGACTAGAATGCAGACATTAATTAAGATGCAATCGGTAAACTGATGGATCTGTCTAAGATCAAATAGGATATCGAAGACTTTGTCAGAGAACAAGAAATACTTGAGCAAGGTGTCCTAAAAATAGAAAACAACTACTACATAATGACAATGTACTTCAGAAGAATTGCTAGTAACTATGAAAACATGAGAGCAATAATAGATGAAAGAGTAAAAAGATTTTCAAATGATGATGATGAGGTTGATCTAAAAGAGGAAAGAATGAAGTCAAGATAATGTGAATTTGTGTCAGAGCATCCTTATGTTATGCAATATGATCTGGAAAATCATAATGAGATTAAAGAGATGGAAAGAATTGACATAGAATAAGAAAAATTTACTAAAAGGAAGACTGGGTATAGATCTTACACAGAGATTAAAGTATGTTCAAAAATTAGTACAACTAATTGGGATGACTCTTTCAATCTTAGCTGGGAGTAGCTTTAGCAGTTTTTTATGAAGTTTGGGTTTAAATGGTCTCCCCATAACTTTCTCAATACAAAAAGATTCAATCAGAAGGAGAGATTTACTTTCTTCAATTTTTTCGCTGAGTGCTTATTCATCTATGATTGCAGAGTGTAATTAGATATGTAAAGATTGGACATTGAGCAATACAAGTTTGAAAAAATATTCCTAAATCTGGAATAAATTTAAAGAACTAAGCGTCAAAATAAATTGCAGTTTTACTTTGATGATTACCTAGAGGATGAATTTGATGAAACTAAATATGACTATGCGATATATCCATTCTACGAAGACCCTAGATTGACAAATGAAGAGTTGGTGAAAGATCAGGCAACTGCCTACTTCAATTATAATCCAGTTTATGAAGATAAATTAGCCTAGTCTGTAACTATTCAAATTGTTGAAGGTAATAAAAAACCAGAACTGTTGATAGATGAAAATGCTAGAGAATATCTTGAAGATCCAAATAATTTGTTCAATCTGACCCTTTCAACATATCCTCAATCAGATGACATCTACTTAGGGAAGATAAAGTTATCGGGCAAAGAGGGTTACAAAAATTAATATAATTTGAGGATTGATTATTATGTCTTAGGGTATGTTCCTACTCTACTGATAAAAATTTTCAACACTATATACTACGAGATATTTGAACTTAAAGTTACAAATAAAAAAATCATAAAAGATGTGATAAGGATCTGTAAACAGTAAAATGACAGTATGGTTATTAACCAGCTTTAGTCTATGCTATAAATCAACTCTAAGCTAAATGGGTCTTATCTGAAATTGAATTTTAATATAAGAAGAGACAGAAATGTAAATTTGGGTCAAAACTACCTCAACATGCTAATTTGTAATGAAAATCTTTTAAGATAAATGCAAAAAGATAATTATAGGCAATTCCAAGGAATAGTATATTTTGAAAATCTTGGCGGAAGGATGCTTGTGACAGTTACTGAATTCATAATTGATGTAGAATAGATTAGCACTGCTAACTCTGAATAATAAATTAATCACGGAAATAAGCATATTCCATTGGAAAGTAAAGCGTCTAATGCAAGGATTGGAGGCACCACCAAGAGGTTCCAAAGAGTTAGACTATGGAAGATAAATGTTTTCAACATATTCAATAGTAAAAATTATGAGGCAGTAGTCTCTTATGAGGATTTGATCAACTATTATGAATCTGAGATTTTCAAATTTTATCAAGATCATCCAAACATGATTAAGCCAAACTTAGTCCATCTTCTGCAAGACTACATAAGAAATCTGTTTGTCTTTCGATCAAAAGTGGGCTAGCTACTTTATTGGAAGCTTCCATAATTCAGTCGCCCTTTAGATAAAAATGGACAAGTTGTTCCTGTCTCAAGTGATCAAATATATAAGCTAAAGCTGCTAGACATTTACCATAAGCTACAAAAGAAAATAGATGAGCAAAATAGGGATGATGATAATAATGCTTTACCTTTTAGTCTTGACCAAATGAAGGCAAAAAAGCATTACAGAGAACCGCCAAGCTTAAGTCTTCGTAATAAGTTGATTTTAGAAAAGGAATTACCAATATTCTCTCCAAATGACTCTAGACTATTGAAACTGACTTCCTCAAATCAAGAAGTAATAGTCCAAATGTCTAAAGTCTTCAAATCATTGCTAAGAGTTACATATTGTGTCGTTACGGTGGTTTTATATCCAGCAATGGAATGTTGGATCTGGCAAATATACTTTCTGAAGACTTAAAGAACTTTTTCAGTCACGTTTTACCCATCAGATCTTTTCAATATGGATCATGAGATCTTAAACAACTAGGATCTTGGATAAGCAAAATCTCCTGCTATCGGCCTGTGGTCTGAGCTAATAAAAAGATCTGACCTGCATACAAATAATAAAGGCGATATTATCCTAGTTTGCGAGACTTACAGAGAGCCGTTAAAGGAGGTTCTTTTTCAGGATCATGTCTTTAATGAAAATGCTAGCGACATATTTTTTCTAGAGGTAACTTTGAAGTCTCACGAGAACTTTGTCACAGACGTTAGAGATCCATTTTATCCATTAGAAGTAATTGACGAGTATCTTTCAGAGTTTACCATTGGCATTAGAGCATTCAGCTTAACTAGAAATATATGGATAAAGGATTATTAGCCATTAACAGAAGTTGTGAGAATTTTGAGAAGGGAAAAGTATCTTTCTAGTGATACTCGACTTATTTATTATAGTATGCTGAGAGATGCAGCTACGCTGATTTCTCACAAGATTGTTTTCTCGGATGAAGCGAAGAATATTGAGGTTAAGAGACAAAAGCTAACTTATGATATAAGGAATCTCTTAAACTAAAAAGAGTAGTTCTCCAAACTGTAAGAAGAACAAAGAAATGAACATATGCCTGATAATAGACTGAAAGAAGATAGAAGATAGAGAAAAGATCACCCACCTCTTAGAAACAAACTAGATGATACTGTTGATCAGATTCAAAAAGATCATGGACTTAGAAATGAATGGAAAAACCAGATTGAGCTTAACAAAATCATTTTTCAAGGAGTAATATCTTAGAACCCAATCTAAGTGTGCACTGTCATCTACAATGAAGTCAAGGATCTCTTCATTTACAGACTTTATAGAGTCAGTGATTGCAATGTGTACGAGAAGCGTATCAACTCAATTGAAATAGAAAAGACGTGTGCCCCTAACTATTAGAAAATGCTGTAAAATAGGATGCAGGGATAATTGGGTGAGAGAATTTGCGAGTTTTATAAGACTTAGATGATAGTCTCATCTCTAATGAAGTACTATAATCTCAAGAAATGAACAATTTTATTCAATGTGTCAGATTTCAAAGTAATATGAGTTGTAATTAATCTTAATTTCATAATTTGATTTCATATTAAAAAAATATATCTGACCTGAGGGGTTTTGGGGTTTTGGGG